ACAATCAGGAGGAAGGACCAAACGGCCTCCAATACAACAAAGACCCACTGACTTCAATAACCAACCATGGCAGTAGGTAGGGTCTGATTGAACTTTCTGTACCAAGCCCTGAATATAAGAAGATGCCTCCAACATAGGTAACAATTCAGCGAGAAAAGTGGAAGAAATGTGTAGCATGGACATATACGTAACACGAGATAAGGAATCAGCAGCCAAATTTGATTTACCCGATCGATATTCAATTGTAAAATCATATCCCAGCAGCTTTGGAAGGTGAGCTTCCTGTTCTGGGGTCTGAATAGTTTGCCCATTCAAATGCTTGAGGCTCTCTTGGTCAGTGCGAATAATAAAACGGTGGCCAAATAAATAATGACGGAATTTGGCCACTGCTTGCGTGATGGCATATAACTCGCGCACATAAGCCGATTGTGCTTGCATCCTATTCGACAATTGTTTAGAAAAATATGCAATAGGGTGACCGTTTTGACTCAACACGGCACCAACACCAGAACCCGATGCATCAGTCTCCAATATAAAAGGATGAGCGGAGTCAGGTAATGCTAACGCAGGAGCACAAGCCAGATGAGGGACATGTAAGACAGAATTGAGATGTAGGGAATCTGAAATAGTAACCGAGCCTTTTCCAGCAATCGGAGAACCAGTACCGTTAGCAGTGGTGATATTATCATTACCAACACAGGGAAAATAGGTAACAAACATGCGAGCATCCGAGGTCATATGGTCAGTAGCACCAGTGTCAACTATCCATTTGTTGGATGTGAAGGAGGTGTGAAAAGCGGAAGGAGGAGTACCTGTATGAGCTACGGAGGCCGACGCAGCAGGGGAAGGTTGCCGTGCTGGGAGACCTTTAAGAGCAATAAGTAGTTGATGCATTTGCTCATTTGACAAGGCTGGAAGAGAATCAGACGGTTGGGAGGTTTCTGGTGATACCTGATAGCCCCAAGGCTTACCCTTTCGAGGTTTCCAATCAGTTGGTTTGCCATGGATGTCCCAACAACGTTCACGAGTGTGACCCGTTTTTTTACAGTGATCACAAGTGACTTTACCCTTCGTGGAGGATGACGAGGGCGCCCCTTTACTGATAAGAGCAGAGGAGTCAGAGATAGATGTTGGGGTTAGCATAACATTATGACGTGAACAGAAGCTCAACAGGCCTTTGATCAACTTAAGCTGGCTCTTACACATGTGTCATCACACTTATTTTGAGAGGAAATTAAAGTACGTAACACCTCTCTGCCTTTCTCCTTTGCCACGTCATTGTCCATACCCGGTTGCTGCTCTTCTTGTGTCATCACACTTATTTTGAGAGGAAATTAAAGTACGTAACACCTCTAATACTTAATACAAAGATAGTTATGGGTTGGATTTGCTCCTCAATAATAAGATTCTAATCTAATTTACATTGTCTTCCAAATTATTATTCCTATTAATTGTACATATTAAGAAAGCTTCCACTAAATTAAAAGGTAGTTTTAACACATGAGTAAATATGTTAGTTTGGAAAAATTAATACACATTGGTTACAAATTATCCACTTAACTAATTTTCTTAATATCCTCAAATTAGTTCCCCAACTCTAATATTAAGAACTTGGTTAATTCACACAACTTGGTGTAATATGAATTAACCGTCGATCAATCTTATAAGCAGGTAATTATAGAGACAATATGCGTGTCAAGTTTGACATAGACTTGGGAATAATTAGCTGGGTAGCATTGACCTTGATCACTCCAATAGAAAGATTAATGCAACTATATTATAGTTAATTAATTAAATATATATTTTCTTGCATGATGCATTCAAATGAAAGATGCTTGATTAAACTGCTAATATATACGGGGGATGGTTTCTTTATTTTGAAAGCAATATCACTCTTGACATTATTTTACACAACTTTTGCTTTGAGAAAGGAGAAAATTTATCTTAGCTTGGCTGAGAAAATTAATGTACACAAAAAGGGAACTACCTGCCATAAAAATTACAAAACACAAAAGTTAAGGTTTATAGGATAGCCAGACCCAAAAACAAGGACGGGAGTTTTGCTGACAAGAGAATATGGATTAAGTCAAATAAAACTTCTTTTTGGACAATTTCAAGTAGAATTTGGGCGTTTGTGCCAGCCTCAAGTTGATAAATATACGTTTCTAAAACAAAAACAATATTATAGAAAACAATATATTCATCGTAAAATTTTCAACCCAACATTTCAAGACTCATGCATGCAGATATGCATTTCTCCAGTGCTAAGTTTTGCCCTCCTTTTTGGCGGACTCCAATGTTACCTTTGTCACGCATCTTTTAATTAATTAATTAATTATATCAATTACCATTCAACGGTCTTCGCATCAAAAGCTGTAACTTAACTTTCACATACGCAAGAGGAATATTAAAAATGAGAAAATGTAAGAGGTTTGACCTGTCGTAGGGAGGCTGTTATGATTAATTTATTCTTTTCAGAAATAAAAGTCAATAAACCTAAAAATTATCAACCATTCCGTACAATAATAAAACCTTCATCAACGATTATGAAATTATCAAATTGAATGCATTAAAAAATTCAAATCTTCAACAAAATTGCATCATGTAGCAATACGTATGGCTCTTGTTTATTTTCATTCCTTTTCTTTCGAAATGCATATATTAAATTAATATAATTTTTAATTAAAGAGGTTCTAAATTTATTGTAGTGCTCAATTACCCTAATAACAAATTTTAATATATGTAATTTTCCGCCGTTAAATTAATGGGGAAGCCAATAGATATCTGAATTATCGCGTGTTTATCTACCAGCAATAAATTGATTACCATGGAATATAATTAGGGATACCTATGTTTGCATGCAAGTGGACAAGAATTAATATTATTTGAATAGAACACAGCTAACTAGTCAGAATCTTACTTCTGATTATTATAAGCAAACAAACCATTCGGTCGCTTTCTATTGCACTTTGAAATGTTGACATAAATTATTCAAAACATAATGTTACATTCTCTAATGGGAACATTGATATTATTATTCATTTTTGGGGGGGCAAATAATGATATATTAATTAATTAATGCACAATGCTGACGACATATGTGAACACGTTTGACTTTTTTTTTCTGGCTGCTTGGTACATATGCATGATATGGCTTTGAGAGGATCAAGCTAAGCAAGAAAATTATAAAAACACTCAACGTACGTATAATTAAAACTTAAAAACTTTTTGCCTCGTCTCAACCAAAAGGGGCAAAACCTAGTCAAGGATTGACATATTATACTGAAATCTCTTGGAGACCAATTAAGGTTCATTTCATTGAAACCATCTCATGAAGAACTGGCTTTCTTTCCCGTTTTAAATTAATTTTCGCCTTTATGGATAGCTCTGCATATATATGTATATATATATGGAACAAAATGATTGATGAATAGATTATCAGCTACATTTCTCTTGCGCGCATAAGTAGGAAGAAATTAAAACTAAATTATTTTTGTCCATAGAAAATAATTAATTTTCTGTAACTTTCAATTTGATTCTCTATTTATTTTTAGCAACCAGTTGTGTATATAAAATGATTCAGAATACATTTATTGAAAAACCGAGTCATTAAGCCACTAGTTGTCTTGAGGATATACTATACACATACACACAATGTACTAAATAAAAGTTAATAAAATTAAACTCATCAAAATAGTTTTCCAATTCAGATGTGAAATTAATCATCAACTCATTATCATTTAGTTATGCCAAATTTTTGAGAAAGCAGAGATTTTTTTCTTCTCACGGGGTACATTAAATTCGAGCAATGAAATAGACGTTATCATCTAATTTTTTTTTTTTAAATCATCCTTCGTTGAATGAAAGAACTTTATACACCTATCATATTTATGAATAGTCAAATTTACAACATAGAGATTTAAACTAGAGAATTAGTTTATATGGACCAATGGAGAATTCTTTGTATTTTTTTTCTGAAATAAATAGATAGACCCACACGTTATACGTAGAGAGAGAAAGCACCTTTTCATCAAGTACGTCAAACTTATTTATTGCCTAGACGTAGTGGTTCGATATTTCATGCAAGTTGTAACAAAAGAGGACAGAGAGTAATTAATAGGGCAACCCACTAGGTTAAATGTTACTTGACTTCATCAAGAATGGACGAAGAAATACACTAAAGGCGCGGTTCCGGTCACCGGAGTTGGCAAATTGGTTTGACTTGGCGATGCTTTTGGCTTTTGGTATCGTACGAAACTTCTCTCTCTCTTGATCTTGTCTCGACCGTTGAAGTTGAATTCTTCTACTAGTAATATTTTTTATGCTCTTCTTGACGATAAAAATATTTGTTTACTTTTTCCTCGCTGTGCAGTTGGATATGGCTCTCTGAGTTGTGGCTGACATTTCTTTATCTGTCTTTATTTTGACTTTCCAATTCTGCCCAGCTATATTTCCCCTTTCCAAGAGTCAAATATCTCATGCAAGTTCCGCCCTCTATATATTAAGCTTTCGGCTGAAGAGGCCTAGAAGGAAAGTAAAAGAGAAAACAGGGAGAAGAAAGAAAAAGAGCTCTATATTCTCGCATCTATGGAGTTTCCTTTAGGAAGATCTGATCATGAAAGCAGAGTCAACGGACAGAAGAGGAGTGAATCTGGTGGCGGTGGCGATGAAGATCATCATCGGAAAGAAGAGATTGATATTGAGGTGAAGATATTTTCTGCTATATACACATACACTCACACACACACACACACAGAGAGGATCTTTCAACCGCCATAATCAGTTTTATGAGACTGGCCGAAATCGTCTTTCCGTTCATGTTTTGAGTTAAAAATAATCATTGTGATGTTTTTGGATTTGATTTTGGTGTCAAAGCTTGATTAGTATGATTACTTCGGTCAAGCTTTCTGATTTAAATCATAAAGCTTCTTTCTGATTTGAAGCTTCTTTCCGATTTAATTGTTGTCTTCAGCACAAATTTAAGAAGCACTATATATTGAGATATATATATATATGATGACTTTTTTGTGATCGATCTTGTGTTCTTGTCTGGTTTGTCTCGTTCACTGAAGATAACAAAGAGGTTAATATAATTCATAGCCATTACTTTTCAGTTCTTTGTTTGATTTTCAAGCCAAATCAAATATTAAAACAGTTTATAATCTCTTTATAATCTCTGAGATACACTGTATAGAGGAATTCGAAGGTGCCGACACTAACAAATACTAATATGCAGTCTATTCAGAATATATGGGCACGAGCACACAAATATATATTCCTCCGGTTCTAAATATAAGACTCTTATACTAGTGTATATAAGAATTTTATATTTAAGACCGGAAGAATATATGGTTATTACAAACATATTATTTTTCACTAATAAGTAAAACATGATCTATAGTTGTATGGGTTTTGAGTTGTATAATTAATCTATCACATTATATATCTGTTATTATTATTTCAGACACATCTTATCATCTTTTGATTGAAAAATAAGATACAAAAACTGTGTGTATATTATCCGTTAGCATAAATATAGAGTTGACCATGCATGTGCGGGATGTGCTGGGGAAAACAGGAAATATATTATAAGATGTCTGAAATTATGAACGAAGACACCGAAAAAGATCTCATTAATTATATACTTAGCTTGTTTCTAGTTTTATACCAGAGAAGAGTGATACATTTCCATATGTATGCATGTATAAATAGATAATATATCGAGAAAATGAATATATATAATTGACTAAAAATAAATGCATCCATTTTGGTGACGATTTGATGCTCAAGTTAATTCATGCTCTTCAATTAATTTCAGGTGCCACCGGCTGATACTTCTTCTGGACCAATTGTATCTTCAACTAAAAAGGAAGAGGTGAGTTTTGAAAAATTCGAATGTTGTTCATGTAAAAGTGATTATACATATGTTAAAACTAAAGAAAACGATATACGTGTGTCCTTGGGGGGGGGGAAGAGGTTCATATACAATTTTTTCTGTGGTAATATTATTATTCTTAAATATTGTGTTCTTTTTCTTTTTTGGGGCATGAAATATCGTGTTCTCTTTCTGAAGTTATATTATTGCATAATATGGTGATAGGTGGAAGAGCTAGAATGTGCAAAAACGGAAATGGGTGTAGTGAGAGAAGAAAATCAAAGGCTGAAGCGAAGTTTGGATCGAGTTCTGAAGGATTACAGAACACTTGAAATGCAATTCAAAGATATGGTTCAAAAAGGAAGAACCAAACAATCCATTACTTCTGATCATCACAAAGGCTCACCATCATCGGATCACAGTGGTCGAGACATTATTATAACTGAGGAAGAATCTGATGAGCTAGTTTCTCTGAGCCTTGGAAGAGATATTCCCAGTAATAATAATCCAATTAGAAAGCCGCATGATCAGAAAAGCAAAGCTTCGAAAGCATTATTATTGAAGGATGAAGAAGAAGAGGACTTGGCTCTTGGATTGGACTGCAAATTTGAGACATCAAAGTCAGGAAGCTTAAGTACTCATGAAGCTAATAATAATAATAATTCGCCAAATACTATTAATCCAAGCCCTACCAATAGTTCTGAAGAGACACCCAATAAGGAAGAAGAAGAGAGTTGGCAACCAAGCAAAGCACTCAAAACAACCAGAGATACTGCTTGTTCAGCAGAAGACGAAGTTTCCCAGCACAATCCTGCAAAGAAAGCTAGGGTTTGTGTCAGAGCAAGATGCGACACTCCAACTGTAAGCATCCCTCTCTCTCTCCGTCCTCCAACTTTACATTATTAATTAGATTCTTCCATACAAGTTTCAAAATACGACCTTATACTTCATTTTAATTTCTTTCGAGTTTGATGAATTTGAGTTTCTGGAAACAGATGAACGATGGATGTCAGTGGAGAAAATACGGACAAAAAATCTCCAAGGGAAATCCTTGTCCTAGGGCATACTATCGTTGTACAGTTGCCCCATCGTGCCCAGTAAAAAAACAGGTGCGTCTATATATATACATATACATGTGTGTGTGTGTGTACGTATAACACATGAACACTTGGTTATTTCAATATCTCTTATAATTCATTTTGATTGTGTGTTACTGTACACGTGTGTTATTAACAGAAACTTGATGAACATGTAATTTCAGGTACAAAGATGTGCTGAGGATATGTCGGTTTTAGCTACAACTTATGAGGGAATCCATAACCACCCTCTTCCTCTCTCAGCCACCGCCATGGCTTCCACTACTTCTGCGGCAGCTTCCATGCTTTTGTCTGGTTCATCGTCTTCTTCCGCCGCCGCCACAACCGCCACTTCAGCTGATCTCTATGGCCTGAATTTCTCCTTACCAGATGGTTCCACCAGCAGATCAAAACCATTATATCTCTCTAATCCTTCACTCTCATCATTTGCGCCTTCTCACCCAACAATCACTCTCGACCTCACCACAAACTCAGCTGCCTCCAGATTCATGACCTCATCATCATCAAGCTACAACCTAGCTCCAAGATCATCATCATCATTACCATATCCTTCTTCCACAAGTCTCAACTTTAGTACCCCAAACAATAATAGCTTTCTCAGCTATAACAGTAATAACAGGAACATTTTCAGTTCCGTGAACCTTGGAAGGTCGACAATGGATAATGTCTATAGGCTGCCTTACGTACAAAAGAACAGTGTTAGCAATAACCCAACTCATCCTCCTCCCCAACCTACTGCTCTACCGGATGGTATCGCCGCCGCGACCAAGGCCATCGCGGCGGACCCAAAGTTTCAGTCGGCTTTGGCGGTGGCACTTAGCTCAATTATTGGCACAGGAAGTGGCAGTGGAAGCAGCCAAGGCAATCGTGGCGGTGCCGGAGAAAACTTGACTCATCAGAAAATGAAATGGGGAGGGCTGTTTCCAGCATTATAAGTATCGCAATTTCGATTCAGTAGTGCTATATTGTGATCAATGCAAGCAATTAATTGTTTAGACCATTTTTCAATTATTTTTAATCTTTGTATATTATTTAGTGTCATAGTATATTGATGCCATGTCATGTATCCTTCAGTCCTTAATACAAGACATATTTAACTAATTTGATTAGATTGAGAAAGTTAAGTAATTTAGTTAATGACATGTTTTTCTTAAAACAACATAATCATCTTTCTTAATATCTTCTCTTCCTCTTCTACTTGATTATGATTGAAGGAAATCCATAGGAGTAATTTAGGAAAAATTGATAAATATAAAAAGTAGGTCTTATATTTAGGACCAAAATTAACTCAACAATTAGGTCCTATATTAAGGACCGAAGGAGTATCATATATCATATCTATGTTAATATTCATCTTCGTAGAGAACAAAGCGATCAATCAAGGAATTTGTTTTTGTTTTGTTTTGTTTTTTTTTGGCCCCCGGCTAAGCGGTCCCGACTTGTACATATGACTTTTTAAGCGGTTTTACATAATCACTTTTTAAGTTAGAAAGCATTTATAAATGAAGTCAATTAACAATAATTTGACAAATGTATATTCCAAGTCCCACCAACTATAAGCACGGTTCTCTCTATATCGTTCTATGCTTTTGAGTATTGTCAACTTCCCCTCTCAACTACCTTTTTTTATTTGTGTCCCATGCAAGTTGATTTCTGCTGCTCGTATGACTTTTTGCGTAGTATCGCTGACCTAATACTGGATACCCTTTTTAATTGGAAACTAGCATAATGCAATATGCCACTCGTCGGTAACTCGTACTCTTTTCAAATTGCTGATGAAAAACATTAGCAACTCGATCTCCTTTCTAAATGGACATGATTCTTTATTTCGGGACGGCAATTGCTTAGTTTTACATGGTCGGAAATTTATATATATATATATATATATATATAACTTGTACTACCTCCCATCCCTAATATAAAAACTAATTCAAGATTGGATTTGGTTTCCAATATAGGACCATAATTTATTTTGCCTTTTAAATTTATAAATTTTTCTTAAAATATTTTTATTAATTGTAAAAAGTTTTCATCAAAAAGTAATTCTAATACAGATAATTCAAAATGATAGTTTAAAGAAATTAATACATATTTGTTTAAAAAAAAAACTAATTTATGACAACCGGGACATATCATGCCTCGTATTATTACTCTTATAAATGCCATTTGGCATGAAAGGAACATTGCCCTTCATCAAGGTAAAATGTGTCCCATCAATTGTCATTCAGAAATGGTTCTTGGGTCTTTATCATTCTCTACCTTAGCTTTTTTCCAAGAATGACCAGCAAACAGACTTGGGCTTGCTTATTGGTATCGTCATCCACAAAAGGAAGAAAAACAGAATTGCATTCTGTCATGTCATTATTTGTCATTAGGTTACATAAATATTTCTTGTCTAGATTGTCATACAATGAAAGAAGATTTTCTGCTGCTAACCAAACGGGGCATTAAACAGACTGGCCCTTATATTGACTTGTGATGAGATCATGAGACAAGCACTTGTTTTAGATGTTTTAGATTTAAACCGTATTTATATATTGCCGTAGTGTCGAGTTTGCGTCATGGATCATATATATCCGTGTTGGCATTTATCACCTCCTTAGAGAACACAGTGATCAATCAAGGAATTTGAATTCTGCTTTTCTTTTGGCCTCGGGGATTATCTAGCAACGTCTTCCATGCCCACATCAAATGACATCTCCCTGCTCCTTGCTTATCAGTACATTTGGTGATTAATAAATAATCATTACTCCCTAATCATGTAATTAAAAAAAAACTACCCATCAATCAATATATATTAGTATCACCAATCGACAATATTCTATATGTATGATAAAAACAATAATACACTGCCTATTCAAAAGTCAAATAACATAATACTGTCATAAATTAATAGTAGAACTAGTGAATTGTTTAATACTGTCGTTTCCTCAAACCTTTTTCCTTATCGCAATCTGAGAATGATCAAATGATCAAATGTTCAACTATCCAAAAACCAGAAAACCTATTCAAGGTGGAGGTAAATTTCTGGATTCCTAGTAAACATTGTAATTACTACTCCCTTACTCCTAAGCATTCCTAGGCATTGGCAGAAATATACAACTATTCCCTTCAGAAGTTTTTCTAAAGATGATACAGACAAGGCACCTTTCATCGCTAGAAGAGGTGTTGTGGGAATATATTGCCACTACAATCGGTGAATAAATATGCAGATAAGGTTGAATAGTTTCTTATGATTCAATGTCGTCACATATTCCATCCCTATTGTGTTAACTTAGTGCCGCAACAAACAGCTGTCCTGTCCCATCAGTTGCACCTCCCAAAGCTACTTGACAAAGGGTCATTACCAGCTAAAGGAGTTTTTCGACTGCTGCAATTTTGCACCGTAAGAACTTTCTATCTCCTCCTGTAACATTCAGCATTAGCATAGTTGTTCTATGCATATATTCCGAAATATATGTTTACTAAAATCACAACAAGCAGCATCAATAGCTATGTATGACCAAGGCGTCTAGCAATTTTGATCAAAGCATTCAAAAAGATATCATAATCTACTAAGTCTTATATTGCGAAAGTTTTTTTTTCCCCCCCTTTTTGGGGTGTTGGGGAATTCAAAGATGAATAGGGATTAGCTATGCTGCACAAGATGAGCAGCAGAGGATCCCAGCACATTCAAGTATTGCATAGAACTTTTTCGAACTTGACTTACAAGGACATGTTGAAAAATGCTCCTTACCTTGCAAGCTTTTAGTAGAGGCTGTAAGAATGACGTTCTGAAAAGGCTGACGGCACCCTCAAGTGAAGTTCCAGTCCATTCTGAAATCCAGCGAGACCAATAAACAAAAGTACTTGTAACAGACTCTAAAGTTGCACTTAATATCGAAAGGAAAATATGATTTTGACATGAGCCATTTTTCCAGCATTGCTAAGATAGTCAACATTGTTAGGCCATGTAATATTTTACACAAAAATGGACTTTCCAATTATCAAGTAAACATACCATCATCTAAATCATCTCTTGGACCTCTTTCGTTAAGTTCTTCTAAAAGCTGCAATCACACAACACCGCAATTCACATGAGAAATATTTATTATATATCAAATTGCTGTATCCCTTCTGTTGTAAGATAACATGAGTACAACACCCTTTTAAGATCCATTTTAGTTATCAAAAGATGATGATGATATTGGGGACAATGTGTTAGAGATGGCATTGCAATAGTTTTAAGCTAGTGCTGGCAACCAATCCGAGTGGCCAGTAAAAACTTTCTTTTATTGGAAATAGTTTTCTCGTGCCAAATTGCCAATAGACAAATCAGTTACAACCTCACTGGCTGCAGTATTGCCCGAAGTGCAACGATCAATCTTCTTCCAACTAAGCAAATTATAGAGAACCAAGTGGGAAGCTTTCATCTCTATCCCCAAGATTAGTCAGAAGATAGACCAGAAAATCATCATTCTCCTGATCTAGAATAATAAGTTTACCTGTGAAAGAGTAGGTACTGTGGTAGGATTAAACTGCTCACAGTGATTTGGATCGATAGGTACACATATGCGGCCTGAAACAATGGAAAAAAAGGCTATCTTTACAATATAAATTAACGAGTAACTAATAAACCATACTAACAGCATCAGTTAACAGACAAACTGGTACGTAATAGAATGTAGTTGATAGTCAAAACATCAACCACAGAAACGATAAAACAAAAAGAAAAAGAAAATTGTATGAAGGTTAGTTACTGACCTGTTTTTGGGTGTACACAGAATGGAGCTTTAAGCAAGTGGTTCATGTGCTTCGAAACCTAAAACATATATTGGCCAAATCAGACACTTCAAAAATTTAGACTTGAAACCTTTAATTTGTCAAATGAATAGTTGACTTTCTATCAATAGAGACTGCAGGGACAAGATACGAATGTGTAAAGGTACAATCAGAAACAGTTCAAATAGGCCAGTGAATACAGGAAAAAGGAATCGGATATAGACAAACCTCCATATCTAGCCTTGGGTAAGTAAAGGAGAACACAATCTCTTCAACACACCTTCGCAGTCCTAGTGCCTGCAGAAGGGAATAGATCTCAGCAGCAAAAGACAGAAACATGTGACTATTAAAATAGATTTCAGCAATGAGAGTCCACTAACTATTATCTACTAACTACACCATAATGCATAAAGGAGACGCCATTTTCACCTTGAAAATCGATATTTTGCTACAAGCATTTGACTACTAACCTTATTCTTTGACAGCAAGTGTTTGAGCTGTTCCCATCGGACAACATTAATGTCTTCTTTTGCACTTGAAGACCGCCTGTTATCTTGCCATCGACCCCTAAGTTCAGAAGCAATAGCTGCAGACAGCACTCACGAATTAATTACATAGATCAGAGCTCGAAATGCCATAACAAGATTCAGCCGAAGGCATGGCTGGAACAGTGAAAATATGCACCTGCGTCTGGAATCAACTCTAGGATCATCTCATATCTCTCTTCGGTAGAAAGTAAATCTTGACTTATTAGTAGTCCTTTCTCAAAAAAATCTTTAAGGACTTCAGTGTATGCTCTCCTGCAAAAACGAAATTCACCATAGGTCAAATAGGAATATGAAATATGTACTCCAGAAGCTCAATCATCCATATTAAAACTTACACCAGGAAAGGATGAAGTGCAAGGCCTGTTAATGAAACCTTCTTATGACTATTCTCATTTCCCTGGACAGAATAAAAGATAGAAAGTACTCGTTAAAATAAGCATTCCAAAAAAAAAAAAAAAAACCAACATTGTATATCTACAGAATACCACCTTATAGACACGAAAATAGTCAGCAATAGCTGCTCTCTGCTCATTAGTCAGCCTGCAAAAGTAAAAGGTAACATTAGAATATTTACACTATGTAATGGAAGGAAACAGTGCAATTCTTAATTGTAATGTCGCACCTTCTTGCCTTCCCATCACAGACCCAACAATGAACACCTCGGCGGCCACTATAAACCCACAGAATGTGTTTAAAGCCAAAATCATCTGAAATAGTAGGATTCCACATAATTTAAAAACATACAATCAATTTCATTAAAAAAAAAACATGACAACATCAATGCCCGGGAATTCTAAATATCAGAAAGTGAATACCCATGCAGTTATGCAAGTAATAATATTATCATACATTTCTTATATCAGGCATTGCTTAGGCCATCGATTTCCCACAAATTTAAAAATTTAGGCAGATCTCATTTTGGAATCTATTCAGACCAGTGTAATACAAATTCAGAGAGGGATTCTTTCTCTTTCTGGTCTGGCATGATACACCTTCTTTTCTGTAGAATGACGTCATCTGGCAAATCAATTTCCCCACCTTATTATTATGAAGCTATCTTCAGTCATTTAGGAGCATTTCCATTTGGGGGCTATGCTCATTTTCTTATGAGAAATGCAGCTTGCAGCATGCACACTATTAAATGAAACTTAAAATCACCGGCATGAAAGATTCACTACTGGAGAGAGCAAAACTAAGTCTACTATTCTTTAATAAAAAAAATTGTGAATCACAGTTTTGCCACATTATATAAGATACAAATATCACCTCTTAAGGCAGTATCAATCACTTTAATAGCTATAGTCATCAATGGCCAGCAATCCAAGCAAACATCAGCACCAGTGCAGCAGTATCTAACATCATCGTAATCTGTCATATCCTACAGCATATATTTAACTACTACATGTCAATAATTTTCCGGTAGCAGTTTTTATTTGGCGAATTGAAGTTGAAAAGCTTACAATATCAAAAATTAGCTCTCTCTCAACCGGAGCGAAAACATTATCACCACTTTGAGCATAGGCATGCCTTTTTGTAGGCTACAACACATAAGAAGCTATAGATTAGGAAAAGAAAAACTGGATAGAAGATCTCAGTAATAGCATTTCAAATGAAATATACTAGGAATAGATTTTAAAAAACATTTGCATGTGCCCAGAGAAATGATAGCTCAAAATCCATCGAAAGATTGTGCAGTGTATACTGAACTCAATAGAGGCAACAACGTTGTCAAGAAGAATTAAAATTGAATTTAATAAAAAAAAAATTAAAGCAATTTGTGGCTTATTTGAGGCTTGAAAATATTTCAAATTTTAATTCTTTTTAGACACTACTAGATACTGCATTGATAACGAGACCAAATTCTAACACACGACGGAACAATGAAGGTTCGACATGATTCCAGAATGCAGAATTGAGGAAAAATACGGTAATCTTACCTCCACGCTATACACAGGTCCGATATCAATCTTAAATGGGCATTTCTCTCTGATGGAATTTTCAAGCTCTACGGCGCTGTGGAAAGATTGGAATCGTAGAAATATGTCGTTGTCAAGTGTAAATGAAAATTCCCTCCGGCTGATGTAAGAGGGATCACAACCGGGATGCTTCCCATCTACAAATACATTGAGAGGGAAAGAGGGGGATAGGGGAAAAAGAAGGCAAATGTGCATTGCACCCACTGATTAGCAACCCTACCCTGATTATATGCATCGAAAGAGGAATAGGCGAGATAACATATATTCAATGCTTACCATTTCCGTAAGACATCCATCTAAAAAAATCAGCACAAGGAAATAGCTTTCCTGAGAAAACAAGAAGGGGAAAATATGAATCACAAGCAGAAGTACGTGAAATGTCGATATAGCATAAAAAGTAAGACAAACTAATACAGTCTCTAGTGACTTGACGGAAAAAGGCAAATTTTGATCAGATTATCACTTAGAAAAGTCCACTATAGTTGAGCAATTGAGCTGAAATTACAGTGAGCTCAACTAAAAGGTAAATTAGCAATTGCAAGCAGATAAGAACCAAAATTTACCGTAAAATAATTTAAGGTGATCCGGATTGAACTCGCCAGGATCATGACTTCCCTGCTTTTGCCCAGGCGCTTCAGGTTCTTGTCCATCGATAAGCATGTCATCATTTTCGTTCTGAAGCTCTTGTTTCGTCATTTCTGTGGTTTTTATGCACACTACGTAAACAGAATTGTAAGGGGAAAAGTGAATAATTTGATAGAAAATTTAAGATCAGAGTTCTGAAAGTGAAACGAAGGTGGCGTTGTTGGCGAAGGGGGCAGATTGTATGACCGGTGACGGGAACAAGAAGAGATCTGGCGCGAGACGCTGGAGATTTGGCGGGAAATTGCGGGGGTATTATGGGCCTAACTATTATTGGGCTCTTTACTGATTTGATAGTGGGCCTCACTCTTATTACCCCAATTCTTTTTGGACAAACCAGGTCCGCTTTGCCACACTGGGAATCTGGATTGAATTCCTTGCCCTTTTTTTTTAAAAAAAAAAAGGTAGAAGGAAAAAATCTTTTTATTGAAGACAATTATATTGATACGCACCAACAGGAGTTGGATGAAGCAGAAAAGGTTAATTTCTCACAATATGAAAAATCAAGGTTCAAATTCTCACTAAGAAAGGTACTCACATTTTGTGTTAGACAGTACTTCCAATAGAAGGATACCTATATCTGGGCAAAAAAATATATTGTTAGGAAATGAGTGGATACAAGAAAGGACTAGAAATGAATAGTTGGAAAAAAAATAATTTGCAGGTACTGGTGATTTTCCTCAATATTTAGGCAAGTGCTTACAATTAAAAAAAACTTACGAGCTGCTTCTCATAATTTTCTATTCTTACAAGCTAATCCTCCAAAAAGCTGAATTCCAATCCTTGATTATTGGAATGAACTAACAAATTTGACCAATTTGGCGATGCTGCAAACAGATTACATGTAAGATCAATTAGAAATTTAAGTAACATGTGCATCCGTCTTAACGTTTGTTTGTGCTTTAGTACATGTAAAAAAGCTTCTTCTTCTTTTTTTTCTGTTGGGAGCTTTTAAATGAATGCATGCGCCTTTGGAATATAGACAACTAGGAATTCAAACTACTTGTGTCAGTTGCAGTCTGGAGGCATCGCACACAAAAGCTACTTCTTTTTTTTTTTGGGAGCTTTTAAATAAATGCGTCTTTAGAGTTTAGTTAAGTAGTTAAGAACTCAACTAACACGTGTCGTTTATGGTTTATATCCATATTTATTTTGACATTTTGCATGTGTTTCATTGCACAGAAAAGCTATTTTTTTTTAGCTTTTTAAACGAACGTACCTTTAGAAAATGCATGCAAATACGCGTACTGAATTGAAATTAACTTGTAATAATGCTACTAATTAAAACCCTGTAGTAACAATATTATTCATGCAACGCTCGAATTCAAAGTTTAAGTAACACGCGTTGACTATAGTTTATAGGCATATTTATTTTTATATTTGCTCATATTTCACCACATAAAAACAACCTGGACACACCTTTGGAAAATACATGCAAATGCACATAGCGAATTGAAGTCAACCTATCCCCATAGTAAGTTTTTACTTTCATCTTTTGCGGATGGAGACTTGATCATTTTGATTCTTCTCTTTATGCGTTGGAAGAGTATTGTTTAAGGTATCTAAGTTAAATCTAAATATTTCGCCAAAAATAGACATAGATATTACTATATTCTTAATATAAAAACTAATTGACTAATTTGAGTATATTAAAGAAATTAGTTAAGTTAGTTATTTGTAATACTACCTCCAGTACTAATTATAAGAGCCAGCTGACTAATTTAAGAAAATTAAGAAAAGAAGTTAAGTTAGTTATTTGTAATAAATAGGTGTTGCCTTTCCTAAAATATCCTTACTAATCGAGTATGTTGGTTAAAACTATAATTATTAAAATGATTATCTTGGAAAAAATTGAGTAAATATGAGAGACAAAATGGATTGAGGTTTTATATTTATGACCAATATAAAAGTCAAATGAGATATTATATTAAGGACCGGAGGTAGTAAATAAGTGCTATCTTTTCTAAAATATCCTTACTAATCAAATATATCGGTAGTACCATTATTATAAAGATTATTTAAAAAAATGAACAAATATAATAAACATTAAACAAAGTAAACTGAAGTTTTATATTTAAAATTAAAATAAAAATAAAACGAATTCTTATATTAAGAATTGAAAGTAGTATTAAAAGTTAGACAAAATTAAAATTCGAAATATTATATAAAATAAATAAATAATCATCCACGCAAGCTTCGGTGGTGATACGGGGCACAGAAGTTATGCAAATATCCAAAACTTCATTGATCCTTTGTCCAGAGGCTGGTGTTACGAGTTAGGTTTAAATTAGAAGTGTATGAACGAAAATAGCGCGTAGAAGTGACGGCTGATTAGGTCCCAACACAACGACGCCAGAGGAGGCCCATCTTCCTCGAATCCTTTTCCTCATCATCAACTCAACCCAATTCCCTGTCTTGATACATCTCCCGCATCGCGATCTGGAGGATCGTCCTGTTCCCACCCGGAACAGCTGAATCATTGATATGCTTTACTGAGTCCTGATCTCTTCAATCCCTTTTGATACCTGGTGACTGGTGAGATAATTTTGTCCTTTCATTCGTTTATGTTCAATCTGTTTCCTTTTTTCCGCCTTTTGTTTTCTGATTTGTACTCTCGTGAGCGGTTCTTGTTTTGTGGCTGCTGTCCTTGACGGTGATGAGCAATTCGGAGTCAGGATCGGATTTAAAACCCTAATTTTTCTCCCTCTTGTTGTGTAAATGCTGACTTGTTACGTTTTTGGGGCTTTGTGCTGGCCGGCGATCAAGCTATAGCTGGAGAGTAGTTGGGATTTCTGCGCTTATTAGAGAAATATGGAATTCGAGTGAACGTTTAGATGTGCCCTTTAGCGTTTCTGGTTTTTCTTTTCAACCCTTGTATGGTCTTTGTAGCATCATGCTGCTCCTATTGAACTATCTTCGCGTTTTAAATCTCTCTCTCTCTCTCTCTTGTTTATTTTGAATGAATTTTTTATCATGAATATTCACCTATGAAAATAGAGTTGCTTCTTTATGTTTATGTCGTTATTAATTTCACGGCTCGTGTCCTAACAACTGTTTTCTCTAATCGGCTGTTGGTTTTGCTAGGTGCTGACAATGTCGACTCCTGCAAGGAAGAGGCTGATGAGAGATTTCAAGAGGCTGCAACAAGATCCGCCCGCAGGAATCAGTGGTGCGCCTCAGGACAACAATATAATGCTCTGGAATGCTGTAATATTTGGGTGAGTTGGAATGAAACTGGATGAAGATCCATCGTCTTGTTTTTTTGTATAATATAATCACTTCAAATTATTTCTCACCTTGTTTAAGTACCGATGGATAAGCAATTTCTGCTTTCTTGTCTGCTTTGGATTGCAGTCCTGATGATACTCCATGGGACGGAGGTGAGTTGATCCTGCCCATACATCTCTTAAAATGATGCTGTCTCATGTGTCACTAGACTCTCCCTTCTTCAAAAAGAAAAAAAAAATTAAATTCTCTGCCCTCCTTTTATTGATTTGCACGTATTCTGAGCAATGGAATTTAAGTCTGTGAACTCCACTTTTGCTTTACGTACGCTGGTTCTCTTGTGATTGTTGAGGTGATTTAATTAGACATTTGAATGATATTGCTGAGACTTGTAACTCTAATTCTCTGCAAAGTCTCAGGGTCTCTATAGATGATTGTTATCCTGACATTAAGAATTTTGCTTGAACAGTCATGTAGATGGACCTCTTGTGTGGTGATGGATTATTGTTTTTATTTATCGTATTCATATATTCATTCTTGTTAGCTGTATGTTTATTGTATTGTTGATACGCTACCTAATTGTGCCTGTGAGAGGTTGTGTATGCTTTGTCTGGGTACTCATGGTGTAACTTGCTTTGTGTTATATCTTCTCACTTGATTTAATCATATAGTCATATTTACATAACTACATCTTTTGAGTTGTTCAGGAACGTTTAAGCTAACCCTCCAATTTTCGGAGGATTATCCAAACAAACCACCAATGGTGCGATTTGTCTCTCGGATGTTTCATCCTAATAGTAAGTTGCAGCTGGAAATATGTAAGATTTTATTCATAAATTAGCTATTTTGTTGCTAACGTCATAGTTTCAACTCTGGTCAGTTTATGCGGATGGGAGTATTTGTTTGGATATATTACAAAATCAGTGGAGCCCCATATATGATGTAGCTGCTATACTAACATCTATCCAGGTAACATCTAGCTATTAAGTCTTAATAATATGTCCATGATTTTATGTTTCCACTGCAAAAGAGCACTACTGCATATAGAAACTATGAATTATGGGCTTCCTCCTTCCACGGTTTTAGCAAACAAGGATGGTTACTATGACAAACAAATTGCTTTTAAAATTTGTGATGGAACTCAACCCAAACAGTGTTCAAATTAACGTGAAAATACTACAATAAGTTGGAAAGAAAGAAAAACACACGACAATGTTATCTCCTCTGGTACCTGAGAGGCTAGAGACTGTCCATAACAACGCTCACCGGCTGCTTAACCCCTTACTGAGTCCCCCTTTACAATACATATTCCATCACGACCCCCCCCCCAACACACACACACAACAAAAAAGGGGGAAAAAACTCTGCCCATAAATCAGTGCCACACTTGACCCATTAGTTACATGCCCGTCAATTTGACATTTGATGGGTGCGGAGTGTGGTACTTGATTTTTTCCCCTTCCTGAGTAAATAAAATATATGCCTTTCAGTTAGAGGAGTCCGGCTGAAGTGACAATTAACATTTGTTATCTCTGTTTTACGTTGATTTGTATTAGGAACCTTGCTTTTTAGATCCTCAGGTTTATTTCTAATGTTAAAATATGATCAAGAATACATCACTGGTCTTGTTGCTGGCTGTATAATTCTTCTGAGGCCCAATATGATGGTTGCTTTTCTCTTCCTGTTTCAACTTGAAGCTTTCTCATGCTTTTCCAAGGGAAAAATTAATATAGGGAAACAAACTGAACTTTTTATAATTGAAATATCAATTCAATGTATATCCTTTTTATGAAGTCCTCTAATTCCTGAGTCTATTCTACTTCGATTAGAATAAAAGATGAAAGCTTGAGGTCAATTACAATTTCTTTGCAAATATTTTCTGTTTCATTTCGGTCGTGCACTTTCCAAATGTTCATGTTTTCAC